GAACTTGCCATGTTCTGGCTCTGCTCACAGCCCTCTTCCCAACCCTCTTTCTCCCGCTGTCTCAGAACATCTGCTCCTAGAACCCATCAATTCTCTTAACTTGCCTTCTCCCTTTCCATCCAGTCCTCTATCTTTTTCCTTTTATCTCTTTCCCTATTCAAACCAGACCCTATGGTACAGCAGTTACTTCAACAACACATCCAGCCCCTTGTTCTTTCTTTGACCACATCTACCTGGGGAAGTTGGAGGAGGATTGTCTAAATCACACTGCAGGCATGGAAGTCCAGGGAGGTTTTGTAAAGTTGATGACACTTGAGCTGAGTTTTGATGGACAGGAAAAGTGGAAGAGGGCATTTTAAGCAGAGGTACAGCATATGTAGTGAGTGGCACAAAGGAGGGAAACAGCAGGATTTACCTGAGGAACTCCATGTTGTTGTGTATGTCTGGAGTTGGTCCTAGCCCTACAATGTCAGGAAATGAACTGCACAGGCAGCCTCTTGCCAGATGGGATGGGCCTTGGGCCTCCAGCGAAGGTGTTTACATCATCTTCACAAATGTGAAGAGCAAGTAATAGGTTTTCTTTTAAGGATTTTTAAACTATAACATTGATCCATAATTACAAAAAATATGGAACACCTAAGCAAAAAATAGAAAACAGCAATCATCTTTAATCTAATTACCCAGAACTCACCACTGTTACAATTTTAGGGGTAATCTGTCCTTTTCTTCTATGCATTTTCTTACATAGTTGAGAGCTACATAAGTAAGTTTATATCCCTCCTTCACACTTAACATTATAAACTATACATGTTAATGTTTTTGAAGTTTTGTAAATATTTTAATGGCAGCATAAAATTCTATCACATGCATAGCATATAATTTATTTAGCTATTTTCATACAGATGGAAAGAGAAGAGGAGGAGATTTCACTACAGGCATACCTCAGAGACATTGTGGGTTAAGTTCCAGGCAACCACAATAAAGCAAGTATTGCGATAAAGCAAGTGGCAATTTTTTTGTTGGTGGAAGGTCTTGCCTTCATTCTGTAAAAAGGCAATAAAGCCAAGAACAATAAAACAAGGTATGCCTGTATTATAAATGATACTACAGTGTTCATATTTGTATGAACTTAGGTTCTGCCAATGATTTCTTGTGATCAGTATCAAGAAAAGAATTAATGAATCAGCAGTATGAAAGTTTCTTCGCAAAACATTTTCTGCCAGCTTCCACTCTCATCACAGGCGTGAAAGACTGAACATCTCATCTTCTCTTCCCAGCACTTGGTGTTATGACTGAAGGATTTGGGTACAGGCATGACACGAGCAGATTTGCCTTTATAATGTTGCATACTGAAGACTGAATCTAGTGGGCCAAATCGGAAATGTTATCGTCCTTGCTCTTCCTCCTTGGCTTCCACATTTGCCCTTTTTCACTTCCCCATTCATCTTTTCTCTTTCTTGGAGAGTGCATATTAAGTGTTCACTGCACACAGAGCACAACACAAGGCTTTGTTACCAGGAGCAGTGCTGAGAGGCCTTGCTCTGTGGTTGCTACAAGCTTGTGCCCAACCCAGAGACCTCTTTTTATAGTTCTGGCAAAAAAAAAAAAATTCTGGAGAGTAATTTTCCTTAGGTAGAAATATTTTTTTTTTTTTTTATCCTCACCCGAGGACATTTTTCCATTTTTGTACAGACAGTGGGAGGGAGAGAGGGGAAGAGAGAGAGAGAGAAACATCGATGTGAAAGGGACACATCGAGTGGCTGCCACCCGCACGACCAAACAGGGCCGGGGACAAACTGCAACCAAGGTACATGCCCTTAGCGGGAACCGAACCCGGGTCTCTCCGGACCGCAGGCGGGCGCTCTAACCGCTGAGCCAAACCGGCCAGGGCATGGTAGAAATATTTTTTATATTCTCCAATGAAATTGCCAAGTGGATTTATTGCTCAATTAATTTTTTTCTGCATCCTGTGACTATCCAATACTACACATGATCATCCCTGTCCCTAGAATGTTCTTCCTCTTTCTACTTCTTAAACCAGCAAATGACCTTGGTATTTATCCTTCAAGACCTTCCTTAAATGTCAGTGACATCTTCCTTCCATACCTTGGCCAATCAGAATCAGCTACTCAGGCCTCCTTCTTCCTATAATTCAATCACAGCATTTTCTACACCTAACACTTTTCTCCCCCTTGGCTAAAAATCCTTCCAAACTAAAATATTTTGTATCCCCAGTTCTTAACAGAGTGCCTGGTACTTAGTTGCTCCTCAGCAACTGTTGAATGAATAAATGAGTGAATAAATTAATTCCTGTTTTACTAAGGTGTATGGACATTTTGTCTTAAACACTGAGTTGAAGAGTGTAAAGACAATATGAAGAGATGTTATGAATTGCCAAAGCCACACTCTGAATCATTTGTACCTAAGGTAAAACAGTCACCTGGTATACCAGATGTCCTGATCCTAGGTTCTAAGTTGTGAACACTTGTTCTATAATGGTTTGTTCATAGGTATCACACAAAAGAAGAATGGTCCAATAGGTTTGGGGAAACAGAGATAAATAGGTTGTTTTTTTGTTTTGTTTTGTTTTTTTACCTCGGAACTTCCTGGTAGGCATTCTAGAAGTTGAAAGAAAAATCAGTTAAGCAATGGTAGAGAAATGGAAGAGCAGTCAATCTTCAGTAGTGGACTGGAGTCATCCTAGCCTCTTTATGCCAGGGAAGATTCAGAGAAAAATTCAAAGGCAGAATGGCAAAAAGTGTACCTAGATCCTAGCTCCCACATTTACCTCCTCGGATCCACATTTATGCAAGCCCCTGCCCCCCAACACGCCCACCATGCTGATGAGATCAGCCTTCATTACTTCTCTTCTAGAGCCAGGAAGCAAGGTAATGTGTGGGAAGTGATAACTGCAAGGTAATGTGTGGGAAGTGATAACAACTTTAGAGTTAAAGCCATTCAACAGAAAAATTTGGTAAAAGACCAAGACATTGTAATAGCTGAAACACTTGAGTCCATTAAGTCCTCTGCTTCTTGGAACATCTTGTTACCAGGGAATGTTTCAGGGAGGGAAACATTGAACTATCACAGCTCTGTCAGATACCAAAGCCTGGTACAAAGAGCAACATTTTATAAGTCATCTGTCTCTCTGCCACTAGAGAAACTTTTTTAAAGTTCTGCTTCTCTTTTCTTCTACCCCAATGTAACTCTTCTACCTTCCTCACCTCTAGACACACTTATATACTTCTCTCCTCCTTCCTCTTCCTTCTCCTCCTGTTCTGCTGTTGCTCCTCCTCCTCCTCCTCCTTCCTCTCTCTCTCTCTCTCTCTCTCTCTCTCTCTCTCTCTCTCTCCCCCTCCCTCCCTCCCCCCCTCATAGCCCATGTTGACCTCACAGACACCATTAAAATGGTACAGTAAGCTAAGATTATCCAATGGTTATTTAATGCTCTTTGGTAAGAAGGTAACTAATTAAGTGACTAGCGGTTTAGACATGTGTTGTTTATTGGAAGTAAACTCCTTAAGAGAGCCTGGAGCGTTCTCCTAAACAAACATTGCCCTGTTATGACTTCTTGTTCCAAGTCCAAATGAGATGGAGACTTTAAGGAGATAGTATCTTTTCATAGATGTGAAAAAAAGAAAAGAGTACCAGAGAAGGAGAATGGGAGAGCCAGTGGATGTAGAAGGGGAAAGCTATGTACCTGTCACAGAAAGACTAATGCAATTTGTGTATCTGTTGGCAGTTGGTGTTCATCTGTGATTACCAGTAGGTTAGACATTAGCAATGTTGACATTCGTGGGCAGCCCAATTATTTGTTTAACTGTCTTCACTACAAATACAGCCATCAAGAGAATGTTTTTTAAACAATAGTCTTTTAAACAACAAAAAAAGTAAAAACAAACCCAAGTATCGGTTTGCCAATGCTAACAAACACTATTACAATATATCAGAAGGTTCCTTAGAAGACAGAAGCCATCTGTTAAATAAACAAAAGCATTAACATAGACATAATTTTCTAGTTTGTGGAGATTAATAGGATATTAGGGATTAGCTACAGCCTATGAGAAAAGAACCTTTGCCATAGTAAGCAAAAGAATGAAAGAATGGAAGCTTTTAAAGAATCTGCTTTTTTTTTTGCTTCTGTTTTAAATAAATAAAAGTTGTGTTATAAAAGTGAGACTTGGGTCCAACATCAAATCTTAATCCTGCCATTGCTTTCACAAGAAATTGGGCAGGCACAATCTAAGCCTCAGGAACTTTGAAAAAAGGGACTTACTTCTTCCAGGTGCCAAATCAAAAGTAACTGCCACTGTGGGAGGCCATTGATATTATGTGACTCTGAGCCTGAGACTAATATTTTCTGTTCCTCTTTTTCTAATGTGGACCCAGAGTAATCTGGTGTAGGTGAAATATTATTTTCCTTGGCTCAGTTTAGGCACCTGGTGTCCTGAAAGAGGTCACTGAATTTCCCCAAGGATGTCCAAGGAGGTTGGCTTACCACTGGCTTACCACAGGCCAAAATTGAGGTTAATTAACCATCAGTCATCATCAGTAGAGCCAAAATATTATTGAGACACTCAGAGAAGAGAAACTTGATCCAGCTATGGATAATTACCTTCATCAACATTCCTTCCTATATTAATCCCAATCCAATGTCTTTTTAGCTTGAAAATAATTCCAGAAATAGTCGGGTCATCATTTACGTTACTCCACATTTAAAGAAGCTTCTTGCTATGCCACCCTATTTACTGGATGCATATTAATGTCCTGAATCAAAACCTTTTTTTTTACCAAAACTAGGTTTCCATTCATGAAAAGGTACATTTAATGACCTTAAAGAAATTCCCTATTCAGAATGAGTATGAACATGCTGCTTGGTAGGAGATGAAGAGATATCGACAGCTCTGGGTTGGCCATCCAGGTACCAAACCTTCTGGCCAAAACTTGCCTGAAGAGCATAGGGATGTGTATGTACTGCTTTTGCTTGTCTCACTCCACAGACCTCAGTGACCAGCTTCTGGAAGTGGTGGGGCTAGAGGGAGCCATGGAGATGGGGCAGATCTACACTGGCCTGAAGAGCGCGGGCAGGAGGCTGGCCCAGTGCTCCTCCGTCACCATCAGGTATGCGTCCTCATTACCTCGCAGCCTCCAGGTCTCCTGGCCTCCCTAGATTTGAGTCCAGGAAGCATGGGGGACAGAAGCTTGATAACGTTTATAAAGAATGTCTTTCCTTGGAGGCCATTTTCTGAATTGGATATAATGCGGTCATCCAGGACATAGACTGGTGTCCACACACCAGTCTCCTGTCACCTGAGCATGAATTGGTGAAATTCTCTAAACAAGAGTGTAAGACTCCTTGCCTTTTTAATGTTTACAAATTAAAATGTTAGATGTATCCAGAGAGCACATTCTGGCAAAAACCAGGTTGTCTGCTCTGCTCGTTCTTTGATGGTGGCCTTAGAAACACTATTTCCTATATGCCTGTGTAGAGCTAAACCATCAGCATCAGGAAACTTATATCAAAACTGACTAAGAGGATGAAAACCTTTCAGGGTATGGACTATACAGGAGGGGATCTTCTGATTTTGGTTGCTTCTGTTTAATCAGTGCAACTAATCAGATTCTTCTCCACCTGATTATTTCAGAAGTGTTTGGTCCCTTCCTTCTCCCATTCTATTTTCACAGTTCAAATCTATGAGTGTGCCTTAGGGATCTCACAGAAGGGACCACAGCATGCAGGTTTCCCAAAGTTATTTGACCACAGAACCCTTTTCTCCCAGAACCTCTTGGGCAAGTGTCCTCAGAGCACATTTATGGAAACTGCTCAATACTCCCCTGTATCCTTCAGAATGGTCCCCTGAGCTTGTTTCTGATGTCTCCTAGCTGAAGGTGTATCCCACTAACTCCTTTTCTGCATTCTTTCTCTGTGTCTTCTCTGTCTTTCTATTATTTCTCCAAGCTTTGCTCCTCTTTCTGCCTGGGTTGTTGCTGTGCTGGGGCTCTTGTTTTCCAGATTAATTTCTGTACTTCCTTCCCTGTGAGGTCTCCATGACTCTAACACCAAGTACATCTAGTCAGAACATCTAAGCTATAACTTATGTAGACCACAGAGAATGTAACATCTTGATCCTGGAAAAAATTTTAAAGCCATGTAAATGAGGGAGGGATTTCTCTTATATTCAGTAGACCAGTTTACAGATAGAAACAGAGAGGGTGAGCCAAGAGCCCCATCCTCCTGGGCATTTTCTAGATTCTCTCCTCAGCCCCCAAAACAAAAATCTATTCTCTCCTCTTATTATTTGTTTTGTTATTAGGTTTATGGTTTTTTATTATTAAATGTCCCTAGGGTCAGTCAGAGAATCATCTACATTAAAACACAGTTTGCCTCCTACATTTTATAATTTCAGTAACAGGGCAGTTGCCAGGTGAGGGCTTCCTGGCCAGTGGGTAGCACCTGTTCCCTGCTCACCCAGACCAGAGACCTCTGGAAAAACCTGCCTTTTCTCCCCATGGTGATGTAGTATGAATTCACAACTATTCAACAGAAGGAAGTCAAAAGACCTTGCCTCTCTCCTTTTAACAATCCATATGCCAGAGAAGCTTTATCCCAAGCAAGAAAGCAGCACGTTCTCCTCTCCTCTTCCCCTACCAATGGGGACAGTATTCCTAGTGACCTATTTCCCAGCTAAGCCAGGTCCACAGCTCATGCAACCACAGAGTGTAGTATCGTTCAAAAGATAAAAGAGGGGATGGCTAGGATCAGGAGCAAGGCAAGACACACTCACACCTGAACTGCATCTTTTGCAGGTTGGAGACATTACATCACTGATATGATGCAACCTCTCGCTCAACACAGAAACCAGGCTTTTTCCCATTTCATAACCTTTCCCATTTCAGTGAGGTCTTTGGCACTGTCTGCAGGCCCTATGCTGATTGTTTGACAGAGGGTCTGCTCAGCAGTGGTGCTGCCATACTGGCTAGCCGCTGTTTGCCAGGCTTCTGTGGACTTCACTGCTCACCCAGGGCAGTGTTTCTCAAAGTAGGGTCTGAGGACCAAAGCAACAGAATCACCCATAGTACTTATCAAAATGCAAACTCCTGGACCTGGTGAGTCAATATCCTTGAGGTGGTTTCAGGAATCTATTTTTAACAATCCCCACCCCCACACCCCCAGGATAGTCTTAGAGAATTACTCCCAGGTGGGCAGATAAGGTGTTCCCACTTCTGTTTCCCTGGTGGGAACAACCCTGATTCTCTGACTCCAGGAAACTCACTGTTATCTTGGTTCTCGGGGTTCCAGGACAAACAAGCTTCTGCCGATGCAAGTGGATGGAGAGCCCTGGATGCAGCCACCGTGCACGGTAAGTTTTGCCAGTCTTTGAGGCGAGGGTGAGAAGGTTTATTTGGGGCCCTTTCGGGGCACTGACTTAATATGAAATCACTGAATCTCAGAGTTGCACGGGCTTTGAGAAATCATCTAGTGAGGCCTCGCTTCCACTTTACTCATCCACCCACCCATTGACCTGCCAAGCTTTTATTGAATACCTGCTATGTGCCAAGCACTGTGAGGCACCAATTCCAAAACTGCAATTCTTCTGAGAGCCTCAGCTGGAATCACCCCTGTGGCAGGGAACTTACCACCCCAAAAGAAAGACTGTTCTGGTGATCAACAAGTCTAATTGTTAGAAAGTGTTTCTTTATGTGGAAGTCAAATCTGCACACTTAACCTTGAACTTCCAACCAGTCACCCACGGAGCCCCTGGGGGAGAATTCCCACAGTGCATGGACACAGTCCCCATGAGTGCCCCACAGCCCTGAGGACCTATCTGAAAACTCCACTGAAAGAGTAAACATATGCGTTATCTATTTTGTTTATGGTGTTCACCCAGCACCTAACACTGCCTGGTTTTCTAATAGTTGCACAATAATGTTTGTTGAATAGTGAACAAAGCACTGAACAAATGAACAAACAGAAACAAAGGGGACATCCTCATTCCCTTACTCATCATATCTGTGTTAGGTCTCCACTTAGCCTCTACAGGGGCCATGTATCCTTTCTTCTTAGTTCCTTCTTTGCTAGAAACCCATGAGAATATTACATTAGTAATATCCTGTATACTATCATGAGTGTGCAATTCTCAAAAGACGAAAGTAATGTTTCTAAGCTTTCTCACACTGGTGGAGTATTCAGATACCTCGGCAACCTGCTATTTTGAGCCCTTCAGAAAAGCAAGTGGTCTTCCACTAGAAAAATGGGTTTTTATGAGATTTCTACTAGGTCTAAATTGTAGGTGTATTTCTACAACTCTTTGTGCCATTAACTTCTACAAATTATAGAACTGGTCCCTAGAGACAGAAACTGTAGAGATGACATCTTCAATAAAGTTTATCAAAAGTATTGCCCTGGCCGATTTGGCTCAGCGGTTAGAGCGTTGGCCTGCAATCTGGAGAGACCCGGGTTTGGTTCCCACTAAGGACACGTACCTTGGTTGCAGTTCGTCCCCAGCCCTGGTTGGGTCATGTGGGTGGCAACCACTTGATGTGTCCCTTTCACATCGATGTTTCTCTCTCTCTTTCTCCCTCCCACTCTATCTGAACAAAATATCGAAAAATGTCCTCGGGTGAGGATTAAAAAAAAAAAAGTAGAAAGTTTTCACCCAGCCCCTGTGGCTCAGTAGACTGAAAGTCTCCCCATGGACTGAGAGGTCCTGGTTCGATTCCAGGTGAGGGCACATGCCCAGGTTGTGGGCTCAGTCCCCAGTAGGGGTTATGCAGGAGACAGCCGATTGATGTTTCTCTCTCACATTTATGTTTCTCTCTCACATTGATGTTTCTCTCTCACATTGATGTTTCTCTCTCTCTCCCTTTCTCTCCCTCTAAAATATCAATAAAAACATATTTTTTTTAAAGTAGAAATTTTTCTGCAAAATTTTACCTTAATCTGTTTCTATGAAGACTAATAAAAAGAAAACACACTATACCAAAAACCAATAATAGCTTACCACCTTGTTAGAGTCAGGATGGTTGGAGGAAACTTCTACTACTTATAATTTTGATGGAGCTGAATTGAGAAAAAATCTATCCAAGCTCCTCCTGTCTCCAAAAAGAAAGAAAACCTGGAAGAAATCAAACCCTCTCCCACCTGGGTCTGTGCTAACTGAGAACTGGATTGCCATTCACCTAAATCCAAACAGCCAAATGCTCCTCCTGGCCCACCCCCACCCTTTCTCTATGCCACCCTTTAGAGATTACAACCCACTCTGAAAAGGTCTGTAAACCAGTGATTGCATGGTATTCAGTCCACGGAAATCCGTATGTAAAGGTATGTTAGTCTGCTCAGGCTACCACAACAAGATCCCACAAATGGGGTGGCTTAAACAACGGAAATGTATTTTCTCACAGTTCTGGAGGCTGGAAGTTCAAGACCAAGGGGCTGGCAGGGTTGCTTTCTGGTAAGGCCTTTCTTCCTTCCTTGCAGACAGCCACCTTCACTGTGTCCTCTCATGGCCCTTTTCTGTGCATGTGCACGCCTGGTGTCCTCCTTTTCTTGTAAGGATACTTACAAGTTCTATTGGATTAGAGTGCTACCTTTATGGCCACTTTAAAGGTCCTGTCTCCAAATACAGTCACATTCGGAGTTAGGACTTCAACAGAAGGTAACAGAAAGTCATTCTTAAACTTCAAGAATTAAAACAAAAGTACACTTATTGCACCCTGGCCGGTTTGGTTCAGCGGTTAGAGCATCAGCTTGCGGTCCAGAGAGACCCTGGTTCGGTTCCCGTCAAGGGCACATACATCAGTTGCAGTTTGTCCCCGACCCTGGTTGGGTCGTGTGGGTGGCAGCCACTCGTTGCGTCCCTTTCACATCGATGTTTCTCTCTCTCTCTCTCCCTCCCACTCTATCTTAACAAAATATCGAAAAATGTACTCAGGTGAGGATTAAAAAAAATAAAATAATACACTTATTGCAACATTTTCCTGAAGGTACATCTCAACTAAGAAGTGTTTAGAATTCAAAGATTAATGGTGGGACATTATAGCACAAAAGAACTTTTGGTAAAAATTGAAACCAGTTAAATTAAAATGAAGTTTTTAAAAATCTGTTAAATACAGTTATACAAATAAATGCAAATGGAGAAAATCATCCTTTATAAGAGAAGATGTACAATGTAAACATCAATAACCTGGATCCCAAACCTAAGGTTCTATTAACCAAGGCTGTAAGCATTTAGGAGACATTGTTGAAGGAATAGTAAAAATATGCTAAATTTTTCATTGTGTCTTTTCATTTTGATAATTTAAAAGTATTACTCAGAAGAAAAGTTTAATAACTAAATAATCACTTAGTGAAATTAAAAACAGGGCACATGCCTTTCAAAACTGTGAGAATTCAAAATCTATAAACCTTATCAATGTAGCAAACACAGAAGGCAAACATTAAAAATGGAAGTACAATGAAAAATGTTAAGATTAAACACATCAATAATGATAAAACAAAAACCAACACATATATATATTCAAGTCCCCAAATAAAGAACAATACTCTTGCCCTGGCCGGTTTGGCTCAGCGGTTAGAGCGTCAGCCTGCGGTCCTGAGAGACCCGGGTTCGGTTCCCGCTAAGGGCGCGTACCTCGATTGCAGTTTGTCCCCGGCCCTGGTCGGTCGTGCGGGTGGCAGCCACTCGATGTGTTCCTTTCACATCGATGTTTCTCTCTCTCTCTCTTCCTCTCCCTCCCTCCCACTCTACCTGAACAAACAACAAAAAAAGAACAATACTCTCATATTGGATTAAAAATTAAAATCTAATGATATACTTCTTATACGAGATATACCTAAAACAAAAAGACATATCTATCTTTTTTTTGCCATATCCTGTATTAAGCATAGAGAAATTAACAGTAATAATTGATATTGTTAATTATATTAATTTTAGACAAACAAGCCAAAAATATAAAGTGGAATAAAGAAGGTCACTTTTATTTGATAAAAATTATGCTCAATTATGAGGTGTTATGGTCATAAAATTTTAGGTATCTATTAACAGAATCAAAATACATAATGTGAAAAACAATATCAATATATATTCTGAAGAAAAAAATTGATATGTAAGAAAAAGTTAACAGAAAAACAGGTATTGAGAGGCTTTAAAATATTTGTGTTTGCCTATGAGATCAAGTAGCAAAAAAAAGACATAAAACTTGAATGAAATAACTCGATAACCTATAAACAAATTAAATATCTCATACTTTCAAGGATCCACAGAATATGTACTAAAATAGATTATAAACTACTTTACAAAAATATCTCTATAAGATCCAGAAGCAGAAAGTATAAAGGTTATTTTATTTGACCACAAAGCAATAAAACTAGAAATTAATAGAAGATTAAGTGAATAAACAAACAAAATTTAATTACTCAGATTTAAAATTTTTCTAAAGAATAGTCAATTCAAGAGATCAAAACCACTGTTCTTGACTAAAAATAATAAGAATTAAAAGGCTCTCATTTAAAACTTATAGAATATAGCTTGAACCACATTTGGAGGTGTATTCAGAGTTTCATATACATCTATCATTTAAAAAGGAAAAAAAAAGTAACGAATAATTCCAAAATTAGAAGAAACAAGAATAAAACAAATTTAGGAGAAGCAGAAGGAGGAAAATAATAAAGATAAAAGTAGAAATTAAATAATTAAAAAACAGGAAAATCTAGAGCTAGTTCTTTAAACATGTCAAGTGTTTGAAAACCTAATTTCAAAAAGAAAATACCAATGATCATATATATTAAAATATAAAACATATATAATAAATGTAATAAAAATATAAACATAAACATAATGGTTTTACTTAATTACAACACAGTACATAATATGAAAGATATAAAAATAAATGAAGAAGACTTAAAGACTTAACAAATAATTTTTTTAAATATAGCAACATGTTTCTAAATAGGGATCCCAAACAAAATCCTATTGCAGTTGTTTTTTAACTTAAAAAAACAATGCAATAGCTAAGGCATTTAATGAAAGAACTATGAGGAAGGGCTTCCCACAAGATATTAAAACAGCCATAAAGCCACAATAGTTGGCACAATATTGTATAGATAAATCAACAATGGAAGAGGGCCCTAAGAAACCTTAGTACTACATAAAAACTAATGGGAAAAAAAAGGAAGATCATAAACTAATTTGAAAGGAATGGACTGTTTAACATACGCTATCCAAGAAATTGCCTGTTTGGCGAAGTGTCATTATATACCAACTTCTCACCTCAAATATACTCCAGAAACAAATTAGAAAAACTCAAATACTATTAAAGAATTAGATGTTATTAGCCAGGAGGGGAATATAGGTGACTATAA